TAAAAAAAGACAAGAGATGGACATGAGAGAAACACTGGAAATCTATTTGGTGAACGGTTCAATAATCTGGCACTGGTCTGGTGAGAGTAGAGAGCTTAAATAGGGCATGGAACAGGTGATATGAATAATGGTGATTGCAATGGCTGAGAACTAGGAGGCATGGCAAGAACAAAGGAGCTATGGAACAGGCTGTGRGTGACAGGCAAGCAAAAAATGTGGGTTGAAACAGAACGGATGTGAAACTCATGCTCATTTGCTTAGTTAAATCCAGGTGTCAAACTTTTTTTTTGGGGGGGCAGGCAGTGTACATTACAGTGTTTTTTACACCAGAGAAAGTTACATATTACCTTTACAAATAAACTTTACAAATATCCTCTTCAGATTGAGTGACTGTACCCTCTACAAGGAAACTTGTGAAGCTCTGTCTGCAGTTCTCAGCTCACAGTCCTCCAGTCTCAGAGAATTGGATCTGACAATCCACGATTCAGGACTGAAGCCTCTGCTTGATGGACTGCAGAGTCCAAACTGTAAACTGGAATCTCTCAGGTCAGTTTTCTCTGCTGCTCTGACAGACGTTTTTTTTTTTTTTTTTGTTTCAGCTTCATAGAGTTTCTGAGTTACAAACATCCTCAACATTTTCTAAACATCCATTCATTATTTTTTCTGCTCCATCTTTCTGCCATAAACTTTTTAACAAGTTTCTAAAATATCTGGACAACTGTTATTTACAGCTGTTTTAATCTAAACTGAATACAGATCAAAACATTGAGTAAAATGAGGAAAATTATCAGTCCAGTCAAATTACATTTCTTTTTTGTTCGCTTTGATCAACAATTTGTTTTTTTTGGAGAAAAATATAAGATAACTTTAAAAGTTTTTCTTCAACCAGCAGCTTTTTTAGCTTTTGGTGTAAAATTTATTTTGGTCTTGTCAGGGCTTCTACTGTATGTTTAAGTTAAAAAATTATTTAATTGGTCATGAGTACGACAGAGTATTGGGACCAGACAAGATTTTTTTTTATTACGAGAATAACGCTAAAACTTTAGTCATAGCATTATGTGAAAAAAGTCATATGAGAATGAAGTATTATGAGAATAAAGTCATAGTATTACAAGATGAAAGTCATAATACTACAAGAATAAAGTCATAATATTTTGAGTACCTTTACATGAGAAAGCAGCCTTACCACTGCATCAAAATGAGTATTGTTGAGCATCTTGTGAAGTTGTTCTTTAGTATCAGTTAAAATAAAAAGCTAATCTTTTACCAAATTAGCATCAAATTATCAGTAGCAGGACTTTGAAARGGTTGTGCAAATGCTATAGGCCCTATATTAAATTGAAGCAGTATTGCAGTTCATGACTACACTGACAGATTTAGTCATCATGCAATTTGGATGAAAGCTTATGTACACTAACTGTGACCCAAAAGTCATTGCGGACTACTTCATAAACAAATTGACACACATGGCTGTCTACAGAAGGTGTGAGGAAAATAAGAAGGAAATGAGGAATAAAATCAGGAACAGAAAATTATGTCATGTAAGATTGTGATTTTTTTCTCATAATATTATGGCTTTATTCTTATAACATTGCGACTTTAATCTTGTAATTTTATGATTTTTTTTCATAATATAACTTTAATCTCATAATATTATGACTCTTTTTCTCTAAATATTATGCATTTATTCTTATCCTTTTTGAAACAATCTTGCGGCCCTAAAACTTCATCATACATGAGGAACATGTTCGTTTTCAGAAGTAAAATGGGAGTTTTGTTTCCTTTCTCCTTTGAGCATCAGGTAATTTCAATAAAAAGCTTTACTTTAGTAAGTTTAGAATAATTTCTACTTATTCAAAAACTCTAGGAACTTTGATGAGATAAGAAAAAAAGATAAAGAAATAAAATTTAGCGTTACCCAAAAATAAAGTATGGACTGATTGATTTTAATCCAAACATTTTTTTTACTTGTACTTTCTTCAGACTGAATTTCCCTATCCCGTTAGAGAGAAGCTGTGAAGAGGATTCCCACAAGCGTCTTCGAATTCAAGGAACAAGTGCAGTGCCATTAACCTACTGCTACCGCTTATGAATATGTTACCAATAAAAATTTAATACAATGCGTAGAGGAACATCCTGATCCTGTGGTTGACCTTTGACCTTTGTCAACCTCTCCRACTGCCCAAGACTAAAATGGTCCCTTAAGGAAACTGTCTTTCCTAAGCCTAGGTTTCTCTAAAATTTAAACTAAACATTGTTTATGTTTGTCTTTAAACAAACCCCAGTTAAAATAATATGTTGTCTAGCCATTAATTAGTTTGGCTAGCTTGCAAAGTTTGCCAAAGACTGTCTCTGATGCACCTGCTAATTCCTTGTGGTTTACCAAAAAACTAAATAAAGATATAAATAAATAAAATTAAAAAACCTTTAAACATTTTTCTTTAAGCCCATTTTATATGCTTTAAAATCTTTATTTCATATGCTTTAAAGTTCTTCTTTTTTATTCAATCATATTTGTGTGATCATGTTTTGTTTAATTTTGTCACATATTAGTGCTTATGATTCACATAAGAAGAATCATTTAGTTTAGGTTTCATTTAGTTGTGTTTTTCATTTAATCAATAGTCATTGATCAACRAGTAATTTATTGATTTAGAGTTTGTTAGACTAATAATTATATTGTATTGTTTTATGCTGTTCTGAGAATAGTTTTTAGAAATGAATAAAAAATGTTCGCGTGTCATCAGAAGTCTGAAACAGTCATCAAGGTTGAACCCAGACGCTTTGCCCTTCTCACTCAAACACCGCACACACACACACACACACACACACACCCGAGTAAACAAGTTTGTGTTCATAT